CCGACCGGAAAACTAGGCACTGCAGCTTCTGGGGGTAAAGCTGCATTGACGACGACCTCTGCAAGAAATCCTCGTGTAACATTACCGACCACCCAGAATCTGTTGAGCGGTACTTTAGACAATGCACCTGTGCGCACGTTGATTGATACCGGCGCACATGTGTCCATAATGGGTGCTGCTCTTCTTCGCCGCCTAAAGAAAGTTATCACACCTTCCTTGAACCTCGCCGTTTGAGTCACCGACGATGAAACTGCTGCCATTATTGGCATGTGCTCTGCCCATGTGACTATCGCCGATAGAAGCACTGCTGTTCTTTTCACCATTATAGAAAATTGCCCACATGATGTAATTCTAGGTATGAATTTTCTAACCGCTCACTCGGCCCTTATATAATGTTCCGCCGGCTGTCTTGACCTTGAAATGCCTCTACTTTCTGATCTGACCAACCCACCTCAAAGCCGTCTTTGCTGCATTGATTTCGCACGCCTTCCGTCTAACTGTGTTACACATATCGACCTGTTCTCTACACAACTTGTACCTGACGGCGATTACATGGTAGCACCAACTCGTGCCGTGATGCATACGCATGGCGTCGCTGTTCCGCACACCATTTTGACAATTTTTTAAAACCGCACATGCCTTCCTATTGTCAATTTCGCCCTCACTGTCCCATTTATTCCCCAAGGTATCTCCCTGGCCAAAATTACTGCCCTACAAGACCATACGGTTGAGCCCTTCAGAGTGGATGATTGCTGCACCTCAGACCATGAACCAACTTTATCACGTTCATTGGGCGTCGACGTTGACCACATGGTACCATCAGACCTCGCTCCTGATCAAGGGGAAGCCCTCCGTCACGTCCTGGAGTCCTATAGTGACATTTTCGACTTGGCCAGCACGGCCTAAAGCCTAACGAGTGTTGTTACTCATCGCATCAATACTGGTGACGCGAGTTTCATTCACCGACGTCCATACCATGTTTCCGCGTCCAAGCGTACAGTCATACAACAGGAAACCGAAAAGATGCTTGCAAAAGACATAATCGGGCCCTCTTGTAGCCCCTGGGCTTTTCCTGTCGTCCTGATCAGAAAGAAGGATGGAACATGACGGTTTTGTGTAGATTATCGGCATCTCAAGAAAATCACGAAGAAAGATGTTTATCCGTTGCCTAGAACCGACGATGCCTTAGACTGCCCTTACGGTGCTACGTATTTTAGATGCGGAGCATCTTATACTCGCGCCTTGTAGTGCGCCGTCCGCACCGCTTCTCGAACATTCGACAGCTGACGCGCGCGCATGCGCCGTCGCGCCGTCGCCCACTCTTCCACCATCTGTGCATCCCTTCCTCCTCTACACACCGCGCGCGCTTCACTCCTCCACCATCTGTGCACCCTTCCTCCTCTACACACCGCGTTCGACATCTACAATTCTCCTGATTCTCCAGTGGACGCGCATGTGGCGTCGCGCTTCGAGAACATTCAACAGCTGACAGTGCATGCGCCGTCGTGCTGTATATATACTCAAGGTCGGCGCTCGCTCGCTCAGTTGCCGCTCGTCGGTTGGTTTGTACGGCGCGTCGACGTCCAAGGTCGCGGTGAAATGAATTCCAACGAATCCACAAACACAATGATCGACGTCCCTTCGACCAGCGCCGCCCTTTCGCATACGTGTGTACGTGTTCACTCATTTAACACCCCCTCCTACAACCACGTTAACCAATTTAGCCATCGACCCAAGTAAGTCGCAATTTAACACCCCATTTCACAACCACGTTAACCAATTTAGCCATCGACCCAAGTAAGTCGCACTTTAACACCCCGTTAACCAATTATATGGTCCGCATCCTCCTCAGTGTTCCCCCGAGGGAAGCTGCGGGCAATTTTTTTTTACCATCGACCTTCGATCTGGCTATTGGCAGATCGCTGTAGACGAGATGGACCGTGTGAAGACCGCATTCGTCACTCCTGACGGTCACTTCAAAGTTATGCCCTTCGGTCTCTGTAATGCGCCGGCCACATTCGAAAGAATGATGGACTCATTGCTCCAAGGGTTTAAATGGTCAACCTGCTTATGTTATTTAGACCACGTTATCGTTTTCTCGCCCACATTCGACTCCTATCTCAAGCATTTATCGGCGATTCTTGAAGTTTTTCGTTGAGCCGGACTTCAACTGAACTCGTCGAAATGCCACACACAATTATCTTTCATTTTTTCAATTTCAAAGGCTTCAATAATTTCACGTGGAGTTCTATCACGGACCCTAAAGAGAATGCGGGTGTTCGGAAACACAGGAACACAACCACACCTCTGACAGTGAAGGGCCAAATCACAATGTTTTTATTTTTTTCGCATCAATACAAGGAATGATACGACGGGGCGGGCGGAAAAAGCTGTCGTGAAAAGTGACCAGATATATCTGGAAGTATCTGGAATCATCACTTTGACGTCGGCGAGTTCAGATTGTCGCGATCGATGATGACGCGTGCATGAGGCGTGGTGTATGAAATGGTGAAAACAAAAGATTTTTTTATTTGATTTGATTGGTATCGACAGAGTAGGAGTGGTTCGATTTCAATATACTGCCGGTGTGTCGAGGTAACAGTTTTTAGAGTTCCTTTACATTTATCTTAACTCGACCTATGCCACGTGGAATGGGAACACTTTGAAACAAAAGAACGGGATATGTATAGATTCCTGCATAGCCCCGTCCTTGAGGGACCTGTTTTTAGCAAAACGTAATAAGGTCCTTGACGAGCGTGTGAAGCACACCGATGTGATTGCTGTTTTTAGAGCTGTAGCTGACAATCTGATCGTTGCCAATAATGATCATTAAAGTTTTGACGCTGTTGGACAGACACTCTACCCATGTTCTTGACATTGTTATCTCCCGTGGTGCTGACGCATAAAGTACCAAATGACAACTTCATACGATTCCTTGACCTCGGGCTGTATTTTTCGCCAGCAGGAGTATGCTGGAGCTATGAACCGTCAGGAAATAAACCAGTTCTTCCGTTCACATCCGCTCACTCAAAGTTGCTAAAGCGTGCGGTGATAAATTCCTAGAGCGCTGCGTGTCGTGTGTGTTGCTCTGGTGTAAGTGTGTGTGCTTGTGTGAGTGTTTGCGTGAGTCGAGGTTGCGCCAAAATTTCTAAGTATATGATAAATTCCTGTTTTCGAAATTCACTGGTGAAGTCGCGCCACCACAAGCTTCATGCAAGCTTGTGGTGGCGTGGTGGTGGTAGCTTGAGCCCACAAGCTTGATGCAAGCTTGTGGGCTCAAGCTAAACGTTTATTCTACTCTGGTTATCCCATGCGCCTGTTAACCGCCGTCGCGGAAAATATGAGCAGGAGAGGAAGGGCAAATGTCAGAGACCAGGCAGCCGTCAATCGGGCAGGCAAGGTTGCTGTAGTGCCCTACATGCATGCCATTTCGCATAACTTGCGAAGGATAGCGAGAAAAGCTGGTGCAGATGTAGTTTTTTCTGCTCCTGAACGGTTGCAAGGAATGTGCAAAAAGGTTAAAGCAGACTGCAGCGGGAAACGGGAGGGGGGGGGGTAAGATCAAGCACCGTGAAAAATTTGTGAATTGTTGTCGTGGTGTTGCCTATGACACTCCTCGACTTGTGATTGCGTGTACATTGGCCAATCTGGAAGGTGTGTGAACGAAAGACTTAGGGAACACAAATACAACGTAGAAAAAGCTATATCTGGTCATTTGGCCCTTCACTGTCAGAGGTGTGGTTGTGTCCCTGTGTTTCAAAACACCCGCATTCTCTTTAGGGCTCGTGACAGAACTACACGTAAAATCATTGAAGCCTTTGAAATTGAAAAAAAAAGAAAGATGAATGTGTGAGTGTGGCTTCAATAGCTTTGTCAGCTAAACAAGAGAAGTGTCTGGAATTTTTACTTTGAAGTCGGCGAGTTCAGATTGTCGCGATCGATGATGACGCGTGCATGAGGCGTGCTGTATCCTAACATGATATGTTCCAGGTTTTTATCGGTCCAATGTTACTATATATATAGCCTGTGTGATCGCAAATAAAAGAATAGTTGCAAGTTGGCGCTGTGTGTGTGTGCGTCTCTCTTCTTGTGTCCTTGTCGTGGTGCGCTATACCCTAGGTGCGTTATAGAGATTATCAGACATGTGCGTTAGCCAACCACTAGTATCGTTTTCTCAAAAAGAGCTTTATTTGATTTGATGCAGTGACATGGAATTTAACTGAATTCAGGAACAGCGCAACCTACAAGTAGTTGCTTCGTAACTACGGAAGCGAAAAAACAAGGACAGAAAAGAGCGCTGACTTTCAAAAAACTGGTTGAAAGTCAGCGCTCTTTTCTATCCTTGTTTTTTCGCTTCCGTTGTTACGAAGTAACTACTTGTAGGTTGCGCTGTTCCTGAATTCAGTTATGTCCTACCAACTTGCCCAAGCTTCCACGCTTCATAACATAGAATTTGTTTTGCTATGTCGTAATAATGCGATGTCGCCCAGCTGCAGTGGTCTAGTAGCTAAGGTACCCGGCTGCTGACCAGCAGGTCACGGGATCGAGTCCCGGCTGCGGCGGCTGCGTTTCCGATGGAGGCGGAAATGTTGTAGGCTCTTGTGCTCAGATTTGGGTGCACGTTAAAAAACCCAAGTGATCGAAATTTCCGGATCTCTCGACTGCGGCATCTCTCATATTCATATGGTGGTTTCGGGACGTTAAACCCCACATATCTATCTATAATGCGATGTACACGTGCTCGGTGCGACGATGTGATTCCACAAAATGTTATTTATATTCATGTTAATTCCACTCGCTGCGTATATATTTATCGGTTCGTGCGAAGATAGAAGATCAGTTGAAAGTAGCGCTCTTTCAAAGTCAGAACTCTTCAACTTCCTTGTCTGTTTGCGCTTACTCCCACATCATTTTGGCATCCACATACTTGAGCCTGAAACATCAAGCATACAATACAAATTAACGGAAATTTATGCAGCCACTGCCAGCGAGTCACTCACGTTTTGCCTAGTTTGATCCGCAAAACCATTGATGACTTCCCCGGGCAGCAGGCCTTCTTCGAACGCAATGTGGTTGACGCGGCAATGCATGGCCCCCGCAGCACCCGCCGTTTTTCTCGTTGAGGAAACGTAGTACAAGGCAGCAGCCTGTGCGCGGCGGCCATCGCCTCCACCACGGTGGTCGCAGCTGCAGAGGCGCCGGTACACGTACTTGAACGCTTTGGCCAGGATGTCGCCAATGTTGGTCAGGTACAAAAGCATGAGAGGGATGCCCACGATGGCGTACAAGATGGTCACGATTTTGCCAAGGTTGGTCTTGGGAGCGATGTTCCCGTACCCTGCGCGCCAAATAAAAGCCTATTATTACACTGAATACGCAAATGTGCTAGAAGAAAGGAAATGCGCTGGATATGGAGACGGCCATTTCACATTTTTTCGATGCGCGGGAATACAAGCTGACGGTAGCACAACGTGATAGTAATTTAGCTAATTTGAAGTCTGCGGCCGCATGTAGGTCATGCGGCAATAAAGCCGATGAGTTCCCTACGCAATGGACATTCGGCCATGCCACCAGCCTTAAATGCCTGAGTGAGTTCGTATTCTATTACCAGAAAAACTACGCGGAAAAGAACAGTAGAATCGCTTCGTTTTTTTTTCTTCCCTTGTCAATATTTTTTTCCCTCGAAGTTTCTGATAAAGCCTGGGCGCGAACCACCTTCATGGTCGAGCCAGTTGTGCGGCTACCACGCCACCGCGCTCGCGTTCCTCGACCTACGAGCTGGAGGGTTTTCGGCGCAAACGGAGCTAAGTATGTTCCCGGTCCACGAAGGACTAACATGTCCGGAATCGCCATCGCTAGACTCTCGGAAGAGCACAAAGCGTGGAGGAAACACCATACGTTTGGGTTCGTCGCTCGGCCAACAAAGAACTTGGATGGAATGTTAAACCTGCTCAACTGAGAGTGCGCCATCCCCGGAAAACAGGGGACGCCCTGGGAAGGAGGACTGTACAAGTTGTGCAAGGTCTTCAAGGACGACTACCACTCGACGCCGCCCAAGTGCAAGTTCGAGCCCCCCCCCCCCCCCCCCGTTTTCCACCCAAACGTGTACCCGTCGGGTACGGTGTGTCGTCGGGTACGGTGTGTCTGTCCCTGTTAGACGAGGAGGAGGACTGGAGGCCCACCATTACCATCAAGCAGATCCTGCTCGGCGTTCAAAACTTGCTCAACGAGCCCTACGTCAAATACCCAGCGCAGGTGCAGGCATACACTGTCTACTGCCAAAACGCCCCCTGGTACCCAAGGCTCGTGTTTCTCAACTAGCAACAATTCCTAAGTCAGGTAGTGCCGTGTGCACCCAAGCCACATCCTCGTCCTATAGTCTGGACTACGAAATGCTCCGGGTTCATCCACTGCCGGCCGTTGGCCTCCTCTCGTAGCCTATTGGGACTGCATCGTCATGCGGCCGACGTGTACCAACCTCTTGCCAATGGGCTCTACCAAGTAGACTGTGTGCGTGAACACTGCTGTGCCGGCCCGGAATACACCACATCGCAGCGCGTACGTTACTAGGTGACATCACTGGGGCACAAGCAGCGGTGGTGATTGACCCGCAGCTGGCTCAGAGTGGTACAGCCACCTGGTGCTGCACTTTTTTTAATCTTTCCATCGTCACTTTGTTGCAAGTTAGTTGTGGCATGTCTCAGAATATATCGGTGTGTGGTGAACTTCAGGCGAAAAGTTTGCCACGCTGGCTGGATACTTACTTGGAGAAATGAATCTCCGTGGTAGTCTGTGAGAGGAAAAGCAGCATCGTCATCTAGTGTGTATTAGAAGGAACTACGGCACGTCGGTCAAAACAAGCATGACACACCCACTTCAAGAGACGGCGTTATAAACTCTGTTGCTCTCTAGTGTCCAACCATCAACCCTGAATAAGGGTCCGATTTCAACCGAAAATGCCGAGATTTTCCAATTGCAAAGTGAAAAGAACATTTCACCTTGAATGAATACGTTCGTTGGTGTTATTTTTCTAAAGTTATCGCCTTCCCGACCAGATAGCAGTCTGCCGAATTTCCACCTTTAAATCTGACGTGGTCTGATCAGGCCCAAGGCATGATGACAGCTTGGCATCGGGGCCTTGAAGAGTCACTACCGTGGAAACGATTGCCCCGAACCTGGTAGCCACGGTAGTTGAAGGTCTCATTAGGCTTAATCAAAATCAAACAACGTGGCAGCAATGTTACACAACAGTAAACGAAAAAATTACGCCATCTCCCGCTTAAAAGTCCTTGGAATATCTGCTCAATGGCGGTAGTTGTATATCATGAATATATGGTGAAAAGATGCGAAATGGCGGTGCATGGAGTGTTCACTAAACGGACGGACAGACAGGCAGACAGACGTACGCACGGACAGACAGAGATAGAGACGCATGGACAGACAAACGCACGGGCGAACGGACAGAAAGATGGACAAACGCAAGGACGGACGCACAGACGGATGCATAAACTGATGTAAGCAAGAACGAACGGACTTACTAATGGACGCTTCGCCCCTCTCATCGTCATTCACTCCGTCAATATGCCGTGACTTTTTCATCAAAATCTCTCGCAGATGCCGCAAGCATCGGCATTCCTAGGATAGAGATGCGGGAGATCATAGGAGAGGAAGAGGAAGGGGCGCGCTTGCGACGCTGGTAGGGATGCGTAGAAGAGAGAGGAAGGAGCGAGAGTAGTCTAGCAGATGCTGCCTGCGTCGGCGTTGAGAGGCGAGAGTGAGGTAGCATAGGAGAGGAGGAAGTGAGGGAGGAGACGCGCATGCGCAGTAAGGGAGGTCACGCTACACAATGAATTGAGCTCAGCAACAAGGCGCTTCATATCGAAAAACATGTTTCTGAACTTGCGGCGACGCAATCCGCGCACCCCACAAACTAAACTACAAACCAGCTAATAGTATTGCGAAGTGAACTCAAGAAATTTCGCAAACATGACTGCGCTTGCTTTCGCTAGGTTCCACTACCATCACATCTGAGCAGCGCGCAAGCAGACGACGCGCAAGCGCGCATAGACATGCATGTGAACATTGTCACAGTAGAAAAGCAGCGATGATTAGCGACATTGAAGTTGCACGTTTATTGCGCCACGAAGTGGTGTGTTTTATAACACCAAAAAGGTGAACGCTTACTTCTTCGGCCTCCCGCTGACTACAGGTATATTTTTATATTAAAAATAATTTTTATGCAAGAAAGTACAAAAATTCTTTTTATAGTTTTTAGCGAATAGTCTGGCCTATTCGGGACCATATGAATAATAAATTCGAAGCATTTCTTTGCGTACTACAAGCCTTCTTCGCGTCTGTCTGCGCATTTATTTAGCCGCTTACGTCAGGGTCTCTCATGATGGCCCCTTTAATTAGGCGTGAACAAATATTAGTTCGAGCTGGTAAGATGGTTTGACTAAATTGACGCGCTGGTGAAGAGATCAATAATGCGACAATCCTGTCGCGCACGACGCCAAACACTCTCCAACAAATAGTGGCACACACCCATGGGCGTGTACGTGCCACAGGTGAATGACACTCAGTAGCCGCCCATGTACGGCTACAAATATGGGTAACTTTAACAAGTGCGCGTTAGAAAAAAAAGCTGTTATCAGCAGCGCTAACCTGACGAATGCAAAAGAAGAAATGTCAGGGTGCCAGCAGGAATCGAACTTCATTCTGCGTGGCAACAGAGTATTCCGCCAAAGAGCCACGTCGGTCTCGGAACTGCTTTTCAAATTGACGCCAATGTTCGTGAAACGTCAGTTGTGATTGAAATGATGGCTATCAAGTTTTATAAACATTGCATATGTGCTCCTATGCTACAGCCGTCACATCGGGCTAACGTCAATTGTAGGTAGGGGTCATTCGCTTATGTTGAATAAGGTCCAGGATTACCATCCTCGTGAACGCGAGCGCTTCATACTACCTTATTGTTTCTGGTGTTGCTAATACTCATGTTTCTGTTGGCATTGTTGTGCAAGTACAAACAACTGGTTATATAAACGTCTTCGACTGTTTAACTTGTGTCTACACGTTCAACATTTATACATATTTTTCCGTCATTTCACAACGTGTGAAATGACGGAAATTAAAAAAAAAGTCACAGCTTTGCCACAAAGCTAGGCGAAGCAATAAACGCTATAGCAACATATTGTAAGGTCACGCGCAGAATGGCAATCAGATCGAAACGTGCCCCGCGTTTATCCCGCACAAATGACGCACTAAACGTGCCCATAGGTACACATGAACGCGAATACGCGTCTCAGTTGTTTCTTCGCTGTGTCTGAATATAAAGCATGGCCTTTTCGCAAACGGAGACTGAAACAATTGTAGTGACCTTTGTGCGCCCCACAACTACAACAGAATCGCTCCATTGCTAGCCCAACGCCAGCCAAGATGTATGATTTTCCCCAACAGGAGCTAAGGCCACGCGAAAGATCGTCCACTCCCCTGCTCTCCGCAGGCCAAACTACGCGTGAGAGGTGAACCGCTGCGTACTCATTGCGCCATCTTGCAGGTAATGTTGAAAAAACAGTAGCCCCCCCCCCCCCCCCGAATTGCCCCCAACGGCGGTTAGTGGTAGTTATGAATAGTTTGCCGTTTGACCGTTCTAAGGGTGCCCATTGGTGGCTCAGTGGTTAGCCCCTCACACTCACGACATGGAGGTCTCACATTTGATTCCGCGCGCAAGAGTCTTTTTCTGGATTTTTTTTCTTTCTTGCATGTTCATGTGTAAAGATGCGTGCACATATACGGTGAGTGACACCGACGCTGGCGGCAAAATCCCGCCGAAAGTGTCAATACCATTGCCATCGCAATAAAATATTACCATATGGCCACCTTCCTTCCGCATACTTCGCATATTGTCGATTCCCAAGGTACATGGTAGCCCGACCGCAGTGGTCTAGTGGCTAGCTAAAGTATATGGCTACTGACCCACAAATCACGGGATCGAATTCCGGCTGCGGCTGCTGCATTTTCAGTAGCGACGAAAATGCTGTGGGCCCGTACGATCAGATTTGGGTGCACGTTTAAAGAACCCTAGGTGACCGAAATTTTATGGAGCCCTCCACTTCGGTGTCTTTCATATTCATATGATGGTTTTAGGAAGTTGAACTCCACATATCAGTCTATCAAGGTACGTGGAATCTGCCGAAGGTTTTATGCGCAACTTGTAACGTGAAACTTCTCACTACCTCGTGGTGATGCGTCCTTTTCAATCACGAAAATAGCCGCAGTGTGTCCCTAGTCCGAAAAAAAGTGTGGTGCTTTGACTGAAATGAAATTATAACAGCT